AATATCAATAGAATAACAATAAAAATAAAAAATGATTAGGTCAGGTGGCATAAAACCGTTAAACATTGATTTACAAAGTGCTCAATAAAAATCAAACTTTGAAATGCATATATGTACACTGATCCATTACCAGAATCTATATGTTTGCCAATAGCAACGAATCGCAGTGCGGAATAATTAAGTCGTAATTAATGCAAGCCATCATCCCGTAAGTAAATAAACAATTTTATGATATCTGTTCAAATTGTATGCAATATGTGCACGTGAAACCGACGTCATTTGCAATAGCAACGTATTACATGCATGTCGCTGATTTTGTTGACCTGTAAATGGATTAAATATATACATATGCCATGAGCAGCCCGCTAAGTGTTACAATTAATATTTTGTTCCTGAATGTATGATGTATCTGGACAAGATTTACTGCACTTCACATTATTGCTTTGTCATACAACAGTAAATTGACAAATTGAGCCGATTCGGTATACAGGGTTAGTTGAAGTACCAGAACGCTAAAATGTCGCAATGAATTGCGCATGTGAAATTTAGGTAGGTGTCATAACTTTAAATTATTTTTCTATTAATTACTGAGCTACCGCAAAACTGCCAAAGCTGGTACTATAAAATTCAATACCTGAACATGCAGAATTCAAAAATGCTAACGGCAGTGTTGGCAGATTTACTACAAATTTACCGTTTAAGTCAGATTTCACGAAGATATTTATAATTCTGGCAACCTTTCACTGATACATTTCTAAGTTTCCTATGTTCAAAAACGTCTAAAATTCTGAGATGTTCCTTTAACGACGGTGTTGTCCGTTTTCACGAGTCGCGAGTTTTACGAAGTTCAAAAACAGTTGCGACAGGATCCCAAAAGCAACGAGTATATGAAAATTTTATGAGAGATGCCAAGTGTTTTTTTTGTATACATTCGAGAACTATCTATTTTAATTAAAACTCAACTCTATTCAAGTGCCGTCCAAATTGGAAACTTTCACCACGCATAAAACAACGTAGAATATCTATATTTGTAGTTTACCATGTTGCCGCATCAACAGTTCCGTAACGTTTTCTAAACGTTGATTTTTTTAGTACTATGATTTTTTTTTGAGTTTAATTATTTTTCAATGCTTCTTTTTGTAAAGTGCAAAAAGTCTCCTCAACTTATAATATTAGAAGATGATATTTTTTATGACATTATTCGGGAGTTATTTTTCGTTTTAACACTTAACAATCGCGGCTAAAGTTGAAAAATTTTACAAGCAAAATGGCAGTGTTGTTAATTCAACGAACGGCATATTTTAACGTTTATCTGGGGTCAGCGGCGTGGAACTGGTGCCTATTCTTGACTTTCGTCGACAAACTATCGCAAACGTTCAAGTTCAACGTTTTATAACGCTTTTGCGCTTGACATTGCAAAAGAAGTGGTCGCTACGTCTAGCTGCCGTCAGGGAATGGAAGGATTACGCGTATTATGAGGGCTCCCACGAAACAACGTAGGAATATTATTATTCTATTCGTAGATATTCATATTGAAATATTAGGACCGAGTTAATAAAAAATATAAAACATATCTCAAAATTCACAAAATATACAAAAAAGGGTCTAAAACTTACCATGTCGAGTTTCAAATGATATAAGATAAAATCTCAAAATCAAACATATCTTGGGAGGATTCAATAAAAAACAGAAATGAAAAATTCACAAGAAATACAAAAAAAGGGTCTAAGGACTTACCGGATCGAGTTTCAAAAGTTGTAAGATAAAATCTCAGCTCAAAATTGCTTGTAAAGAATATGAAAAATATATTGAAAGAATATAGCCAAGCGTTTCTCATTATCCTTGCGCATTTTGGTCGTGCGCTTGAATCATTGCACGGCATTAAAGGGACCCAATGATTGGTGTGATGGGGACAAAAATACTTAACTCAAATTCATCCATTTCGCGTAGAAAAACGAAATATATATTATTTAGATGAGACTTGTTCAGACACCCATGACACTATAAAAAACGGTCAGCAAAATTCTTCACTGAATTTTGAAAGTGTCTGCGTCTATAAGAAAAATAAATTCCATCTTACACTGTGGCTCGAGGAAGTATTGAGTGCCAAACGCTTTGCTACTTTCTGCAAAAAACATTGAAGACTACTAATTAGAAAATTGGGCAAAACATTCTTGTCTTCCAAGTATCCCGCCAGACAGTTCTCACAACACTTTAGCTAAAAAAGTAAAACACTCATTTTGAAGATACTAATACAAAAAACAACTAGTTTAAGTTTTAAGAATAAAATCCTAAATATGAATTAATACCAAAGAGCGGTTGGAGAGAATGTATTAATCATGTACTTTAAGAGTACTACGTAAAACCATTAATTATATCTTTATAACGTTAATACCATACATTACAGTTATGACCGTTTATCGTGTGTCGGACTATACTACTTTTGGCTAATCAGAGAGATCTAAAGCTAGAAGAAAATCTGTGAAATTTAAATAAACTTACCGTTGTAACCGTTACCACTAAGTCGCTGCGTAAGTGTTTATTATATCTCTGTTAACCAATTTGAAGTTTTAGTTGGCAATATCTTTTTTATTTCGAACTATTCGTTCGTGCACTTCCATATTTGCCCAGTACGATAACCAGAAATGTTTTATAAGCTCAACTAACATTAGACGATGAGTCATAGCGGTAATAAATTACAGGTACACTTAAAAGAATTTACCGCGAGTCATTTTCCCTTAAAACTTGATAAAGACTATGGATATAACGATCAATTGTAAGGAGCATGACAGGCATAAAATAATATTTCGCATTGGATAATTGGTATGGCGAGTTTTTTGAGAAGTAAATATGTGAAATAAATTCTCGAAGTTTTGTTAAAATTTTTAGCAAGATAAAATAAATAACTACGGTGCTTTGGAAAATAACTTCCTAATAAGAAAATCAAATTTTTGATGGACATTTATTATTTTTTATAAAACTTTCTAGGTCAAAGAAAACAAATACGGTAAGCTTCATATTAAATTTGTGAAATTATAAAAGAAAGAAAAATAATTATTTTAAGGGTTTTGCATTCTTTTTTTTTTCAAAATTCTTAAAACGTTTTTTTTTGCAAAAAAAACTTGAAATTTTGACAGCTTATACGTAGACTCTCATCCACAATTAAAATGCGTTGAAGATATCTTTAAATTTACTCAGAATATCCCAAGACCAATGCGTTTTCTTTTGGTTATAGTTTAGCCCGTATAGCTACTAAATATATAAGTTGTTTCAAAACAAATTCGAAAAATTTATGGAAAATCTTACGCAATGATATAAAAAATATTTTTTTGCTGTACGTTTTATTTAAAAATTTTAGTCTACTGCATTTTTTTTTAAATACTTATTGTCTTCAAACAAACAAAAATCTAAAGCAATGCAAAAAGAGATAAAAAAATAGATAAAAGGAGTCTAATGGGCTGATGTTTTACTTTATTTAACATTGCTCAGTCAGTTTGAATACAAATTAATACTAATTTAATCAAAAAATTATTATCTAATCATTTCATTGTTCGATTATAAGAGTTTTAATTCAATAATGGTGAATTACACTAATGTGTTTTATGTACGGGCGGGGATCTTGTCAAGCGTATCCTACTCTTAGATCTCCTTATCACAGCGTATTTATCAGGTTTCGTCAAAGGCTTCATGAATCTGAAAGTCTCGAAAAAGTTTTGATAACGGCCGACACCGCGAATTTAGAAATTGCTTTGCAAAATATTATTGAAGGACAAATACCTATGCATCATCCGCATGCAAAGGTTTTTTTTTTGTTCAAAAATTCTCTTTTCAATTACTTAATGTAGTCTTCAATATCAGTTTGCCGCTAAAGAATATCAATGTGTAAAGTTATAAAAATTTATCCAGGCATAATACGCAAGGCAGACATTTTCAAGACTTACTATAATAATTGTATTTTTGTTACCCCTTATATACCCTGCTTACTTGATGTGTTTTAGAGAAGGAATTTATTTACAGTTTACGCAGGAATAGCTTAGGAATTAGTTTCAGCAGTTTGATAGTAGTTTGACAGCAACCAGCTAAATTATTTTAAAGAATATTTTTTATATGCAATGCTTTATATTTTTTTTAACTGGAAACTGTAACTTTTATGAAAAAATTGCAGGAGAGAAAGTTATTTAATTAAGAAGAATGTTACGCGGAGTCTAATTCAATGCCATTCACCCATAACATTTAATTGTTTTATTTTTGTTTTCAAGATAGAAAATAAAAACATTATTTTTCCATCACATTTGTAGCGCGATATTTATTATTTTTCAACCCCATATTTATAGCACGATATTCCCCTAATGGTTAGCTTTTGACCAAACGTTTATATACGGAGAAAACATTGCAATGGGACGCTTAATATGCGCATGCGTGCTCATTTGAAATCACGTTTTCAAAAACCAACAGGATCGCTGACATTTAATCAATTCGACAGCTTGCAGTATAGATGTGCGTTTTTTTGCGACAGTAAATGATATAATACCCCATTAAAAAAATCAATTTTTTAATAGACTTCTATATACCTTTTAACTTTTTATAATTTCTATAAAATTCTCTAAGTAGACTTTGTAGAGATTTAGAGTTTTGCACATATTGAAATATCTTTTTTTTTCAAAATTAATAAAACGCATTTTTATTTCCAAGAAAAACTTGAAATTTTGGAATTAAAAATGCATTTCAAATATTTTCAAATCTACTCGGAATATACCAGAACCGCATGTTTTCTTTTGATTATAGTTTAACGAAATAATTTTGCTTTTTTTGAAGTAGGTGGGATTAAATAACAGAAAAATCGGGCAAACTTTCGCAAAATATATTTACATAAGTAGAAACTAAAATAAATAAGAGTAATAAATACCAACTATATATATATATATATATATATATATATATATATATATATATATATATATATATATATATATATATATATATATATAATTAACAGTAGACTTAACTAAGCATCCCTACATTACTATATTTTAACAAATTTATCAACAAAATCACATATATATTTATACAGTTAATTTATAACCTTAAAGTAATGGTTTCTAAAAATAACGCGATAATACTTTTACGAATTCCGCTTCTAAAACGAAACAGAAACGCGCAAACTTGGAAGAAATGTGGGTAAATTTAAAACAGATTGGAAAGCTTGCGTTACGAATCGTTACGTCGAGTGATAGAAAAGAAAGTCTGCCCGACACATAAGATATGGGCCGCTTCGTAATTTGCCTCTTTTTTTGACGCAGTCATTCCGACCAAACGACATCGCCGTTGCCTTCCATTGCGCAACCCCGCGGAAAGTTAAAAAATATACATTTTCACATACCGAAACAGTACGAATTTAAAATAACCACTCTGCAATTTCTTTTCTACAAATTTCTAATTTTTTCTATCCTCCATAATCGCCACCCCTCTAATTCGAACCGCGAGGTGAAAGCATATCGTTGAAATCTGGGACGCAATAAAGTCAGTGCTCCAGTATTATAGCAAATAAAACCAGACTTATAAGTACAATAAATATTTATAAGGAAAAAAGGAAGGGCGCCACAGTGACCCGAAAAAAAACCGCCGCGAAAAAATTTAACCGCGCCTTTTTTCTTTGGCAGGCTGAAATCAAGACAGCCGTGACACTCGATTTTTTGGGTCAACACTTGCTCCGCTAAATTCATTGAACCGCGCGCGCGGTTTCAAGGATTTCAACGGCGGCCGTTTAAAACGAGGGTGCCTACGTGAATCACCGATCAATCTGGCATTTCGAAGACAGCTTGATAAGAATCTTTCGATTTTATTGGCTACCTTACGCAATCGTTCCGATTATTGGATCATTCCTCGTCCACCGAAATTGAAGCGTCAACTAATGACGTAATTTTTTGCCGTTGACCGATTTTTGATGTTATTATGCCCGCTTATTGCACGCGCGAGGTAGACCTACCTACTTCCGAATGCCGAGCGCTCAGCACACATTTCGCATCGCCCCTTGTCTTATTAATTGTCAAAATAACTAATACAGCCACGCACCACAAATCATTTCTTATTTTTTGTTACGAAGCGTCGAAACTTCCTTACTGTATGACGGTCGGTAATGAAGGGCTCTGCCTACAAAATCCTCGGCTGCCGTCCGGCCCTTTCGGCATCCTTAGCACGTTTTCGCCGGCTTGGAACGTGCTGTTGCTCCTGGATCGGGCGTTGCCACCCTCGGAACTCGCCGAAGACAACCTCCGATTGTAGCAGCTGTCGCCGCTTGAAACGCTGCACGCGCTCATCCTGCGCGGGATAAACAGGCTGGAATCGCTTGAGTCCCGACTGCCGTACGATAGGCGCCTTGGCATGTACAGGAAGTTCGCCTCGGTGCTGGAAGCCGACAGTCTGCGTTGCAACCACGCCGCCGGTTCTATATAACGGGATGGGAAATTGGCCGACGAGCCGCGACGTACTTTACCTAAAAACGAGATAATTGGGTGATTAATAAACGAATTGCCTGTGTTGCTGGGCCATAGATAATAGAAAAAATAAAAGTACGGTGGAAAATTCGAAATGATTGTTTTCAATAGAAATTTGTGCGATTAAAGTTAACAATAGTTCGAGAAAAAGCAATCTTAATAGTCGTCCATTATATGCTGATCCATTAATCGACCGCCAAACATACAATATAATGTGTTGCGTAATTCCTAAGTAAACTTTCGATAACAGAAAATTTGAAAATATGTACTTTTAAAGTGATAAAAGGGATTTTGGCAAGTAGACGGAAATAAATATGTCGTAAACGGCGAATTTTCCATCGGAACAAAGGTAGTTAAAACAACTCTCTTACCTCTCGGATCGAATTTTCTCAAATCTTCGGCATCCGACCCGCTCGCGCACAACGATATGTAGTCCGACTCCCAAACGGATGCCTTATTGTGGTTATTTTTGCTGATGACGTTGTTATTGTTGTTTACCGCCGGGGGTTTTTTGCTGTTGTTTTTCTTTTTTCTCTCGGGGTGAGGCATATGGTTCAATTCGTACACCTTCATTGGTTCCCCTAGCGAATTTTGGAGCTCCAACGCGCTCCTCGCCGATTCTGACGTGACGAATTCGACTAGGGCGCACACTACCCCCGCCAACGAGGGGTTCTTGTTGATAAATTGCCTCACGTCCGCGGGAACCGGATTTCCTGGCCTCAGAATCCGTATCAGCGCTATTTCGCCACAAGACCTAAACAATTCAGCTACGCTTTCAATAGTGGGCTTATCAATCGGCATATAAACCGCCACCACCGTTCTCGATGGGGTCGTTTCGTCGTATTTGGGCAGGGGGTCCAACCTGCGCAGCTTGGTGCCCAGCTCGTTTATTTCGAGCTTCTCGGACCGCGCCAAAGCGTGCGCAACCACTCTCCAATCCTTCGTCAAGTGCTTCACTCTTTTAAAACTCGAAATGAGCTTTAAGGAGACGTACCCTTCCTTGTTGCGCTTGACATGTTTCAAGAGGAACGCGTCCTTGGTGATGTTGGCGTCGGAAAAGTAAAACTCTACCTGCTGGACGATTTTGTCGGCCAGCTCGTCGGAGGGCGGCGTGAACGGAGGTTCCGTGATTTCCGGGGTCACTTCGCATCCGGAATCCTTTCCGCCGGCATCGGAAGCGCTGTCGGAGAGGTCCGCCATGTGGGCACCTTCGTTTTCGCGAGGGTTATCGGTCAAACTCGCTTTGCGGTCGTACGACAGGCTAACGTCGCTATCAATCGACGAGATGCTATCGCGGGTCTCCAAAACTTTGGCCGAAGGCACCAAATCACCTAACTGATCCGTCTCGATAACATCCTCGACCGGCTCCCTAGTCGGCTCTTCCGCAGGTGCCGGCATTTTTAAAAACTAATATATATCACAGGCGTATGTATCACTTTGAGAGAGAATGTACGTTCAGTTCAGTCTTCTTCGTATAAGGCACTAAATTTAAGGTCGGTGCACTCAAACTATTCACGAAAAAGTGGGTCACGCGTGGTACAGTGGTTTTCGCTACTGCCACAAAGCGTCGTTTGATGACCTAGCTTTAGCGTACTGGAAGCGGTCGGCTCACGGACTGGTTTATATACGCGGTTTGGGGTCGATGCCACCTCTACGGCGACGGTGTCGTCGCGGCGGCGACCTCCCAGAGGTCGCTATGTAGCGGGAAGTTGACATTCGTTCGCGAAACCCAGCGACGGGTAGGGCGTGTTTACGTATTGCATATCTTGCACACAATTTTTTTTTCAACAATCGGATTACATACCGCACGGCTTGAATTTGATGTTCGTCAATTCTGACGGTCATATCAAAGGATGTATTCGTATTTTGCAAAACTGTACCCGCTCGTGCCAAATAAATGATACCAACCTGACAAGATTTTTATGCTCTTCGACGCTTTCTTTAGGGTTTTAAATAAAATTAACCTAGAAATATTCTATGGGATGTCTATTCTAAGTTAGAAATACTACAAATTTTCTTGCCTTAAACTTGTTTTAGTCACAAACTCTTTCGAGAGCATTTAGAAATAAGGTTGGCGAAGCATTAGGCCATAAACCTTTTCTTGAGGCCTCTGGTGCTTGCACCGTTTATAGTTACGAAGTTCTTCAGCGCTTTTTGTGAACAAGTCTGTTCTGCAGAAAGTTCACAAGATATATCACAATATATATAGATATATACTAGCTTTGTTGGAACATAAATCGTTATTTCTTTTTTGGATGGAAAGATTAAACAAACTAACAATATAATTAATAAGTGATTCGATTAATACCGATTCACATCATTCGAGAAAGGAAAGGTACATCTCCAGCAGTTTTCGAATGACATCCAGGCATATTTATTCATTTATTTATTTATCAACGGGCCAACCGCTCAATATCTATTTTATATTGGATTCACATAAACAAAATAGTAAACAACAAAATAAAATAAAACAAAACAAAATTAAAACAGAATGAAATAGATACATAGATAGAATATTAATATTAGTATAGTTAGTCGACACAACAGTAAGGACATAAGAGTAGCGAGGCACCAACACAATGTTATACAATACTATTGCGAAGAAAAGCGGAATAGTTTTACTGACAGTCTTTAAGTTCTTTCTTAAATATTCTTGCACTCGGGAAGCAGTCAAGTTAGTCCGAAAAGCGATTCGCTAGTGCAACTGATCTAGTAAGAAAAGAACTCTGTCCATAGTTACTACGATGGAACTCCAACTGGAAGGAGTGGTTTATTCTGGTCTGGCGGGGGGGAACGCGAAGGTCCATGGGAATTTGAATGCAGTAGATTATAAAAAATGGTGAGATCTCTCTGCATGCGACGAATCTGAAGAGTTGTAAGTTGGAGAGAGTTTTCCAATTCCGAGTAATCAACGTCCTCAAGTCCTTGGTACTCCTTAAATGCTATATACCGCAGGAACCTATGCTGCACTCTTTCTATGACCTGCATGTGGACGTTATACGAAGGTGACCACACATAGGAACAATAATCCAGGTCTGGATGCACAAGGGAGCAGAACAGTAATCTGAGAGACGGAACACTCTGCAAGTCCACTGTATAACGCTTAATAAAGCCCAAAATCTGAAGTGATTTAGACATAATAAATGAAATATGGTGTGTAAGTCAACTTAATATCGAGTAACACTCCAAGATCCTTTATTATGGAGGCCTGCAATAACGGTGACCCTTTTATGGTATACGTAAAATGTATGGGATTTCTGCTTCGGTAGAAGTTCATTAGTTGGTATTTATTCCATTCAAATCGCTCCATAACGATAGGTAATCTAAATCCGACTTTAGTTTTAAACAGTCATCAGCATAATAGACTCTGCTATAGAATTTGAAGTCGTCAGGAAATAATGGGAAAAATGCGTGATGAAACCATGAGGTTGAAGAGTAGTAGTCCCAGGTGCGATCCTTGTGGAACACCACAAGGCACTTTAATTTCAGTGGATTGGAAGTTCTGGACACGCACAATCTGCACTCTTTCAGTAAGGTGCAATGATAATCATTCCAAAAGTTTTCCCTGGATTCCAATGTTTCGTTTTTTTTTTTATTAAGATTTGATGATTTACTCCATCAAAAGCCTTTGAAAAGTCTATGTAAATGGCATGAAAGTCAGATCCCTCCTCCAATGATTCCAGCAGAAAATCTGTGAATGTAAGCAAGTTTAGCTCAGTGGAGCGATGGGGGAGAAATCCAAATTGTTGGTCGATGAAGTAACCTTTCAGGCCAGCAGATAAATAGTCGCAGACTAAACTTTCGAATACTTTAGGAATACAACCCAAGATACTGATGGGCCTATATATTTAAAAACTTTTCTACACAAAATATAACAAAAACCAAATTACATTCAGCGAATAACTTTAACAAATTATTTCAAGGCATCAGCTAGCAGAACATATCGGTCAGCAGTTGACAGAAATCCACAATAACCTAGCACATGCGCACAAAAAATCGGCCCCACTTTGTCGGTTCTGTATGTATTCGTTCTCTGGTTTGGAACAGCGACGCTTTAAAGAAATACGTCGTGGGGGTAGCAGCTTCTTTGAAAATATTGGGATATCTAAAACTTTGATCGTTTTATATACGCTACACAATGGAGTATTCTGTGTAGTTTACTTGTATAGTAGATGAGGGCGTAGATACCAAATTTATTAGTTGACGCAACCATAGTTTTTTAGAGAATCTTAAATTTCAACCTTTGATGACAAATATTCAATTATCATTTCCTAGAGAGTCTGCTATAGTTTTATTACTTTTTAAATGACTGTCCAAATTCACAATGCTATTGCATATAACATTGCTACTGTTGTATTGTTAAAATAATTAAATGAAACACTATCACCAAAAAATTCGCAGTTTTTTTTGTTACAGGTTGATTTTGAAATTTTAATACAATAAACCAGACCCTTTGTAACCTTTTCCGCGACCCGGCGCCAATATAAATTTAGAAAAAATCAACTCAGAGCGTGCCAAAAAGTGGCCTGTGACAAAAATGAGTGCTAGCAGAAGCATAGTACATAAGTTACATTTGAATGTGAGACTTGCATAAAAAAATATATTTTGAAAATGGCCCGCAATAAACGAAACATTTTAGCGTTAAATTGCTAAACTTTGTGCAAAAGTGCTTTTACCTCGCATATAGTAACTTGTGGGTGTATAAGGAAAATCCATATACCCAATACTAGAAACGAGAGAAATTAATTGCATTATTAATTGCTTGGTCATTCAGGCTCACAAACGAGGAGAACAGAGATGATAACCTGCAGAATATTAGTACCTGTCTTCGACAAAACGGATACCAACAGAGAGTGCATGACGAGGCCCAACGACGATCGATAGCTGCTGTTCTGCATACATCGCAGGGGTTACTGACAGAATCGCCCGCATATTATCAAAACGCAAGATATTTATGGCATACAAACCTGATTATACTATTTGGAGCAAATATTAAGAAACCCAAAACAAAAAATTATTTTGGAAAACCAAGGAGTATATAGCGTGGCTTGAGGATCGTGTAGCTTGACGTACGTGGGGCAGATCAATATAAGGATTTCAGCCAGGTTCGGGGAACATCGAACAGCTATAAGAAATAAACAAACAATATCGGCCTTATTCCAGCTCCAACACCAGTTACGGGTATATCTAGCAACACCGCATGACCACAAATATTTTACATAGGTAGCTCATATTCGCTTACATAAGTAACCAACATTTCAGGTTTTTACTCGTCCATCGTATTTTGTGACCTCCGACCAAATTTTAGATGTTCTTGCACTTGAAATCGAATAGATAGAAAAAAGAAAAAATATGACTTTCATAAAATCTTCAGAAAATTCCATTTCCGTGTAAAAATATTAGTAATACACAAAAAATAGATTAAATTAAAACTACGTCTGTGACATCCTCAATATATGCAATATACGTTCGTATAACACTCACTTTGCATCCTTCAAAATGATAAGTATCTTGTGGCATCCTTACAGAGTTGCTGTTTAGGTTTCTACATTGTGCACAATAAATTAAAGAAGGTATAATATTATTTAGCTTTAGAAGATTTTGTAGCTTGCTAAAGCACTTGAGGTGTCATGGTCGGTATAGACTGTTCGATGAAGCATTTGTAGAAACGTAAGTCACTCAAATTAAATTTAAAATTAAAAGACCACGACGAATACGTTTGCTAATCGCTATTTGAAAATAAAGAAGAGACACTAAAAGAAACTTTTCCCTTATCCCTATTTTATTAAGGTCTTCAGAAACTGCATCCTTCCACCTTTTATGGGGGCATCCTATTGACCTTTTTCTGTGTGACCTTTCCTAAAACACGTTGTTAATGAGGCAATTGTCTGCGCTTCTTATTATATGTCCTGCCCATCTTAGGCGGTTAGATTTTATACAGCTTACAATATTTTCCCTTCCATATAAATCCTCTATATCCTTATATACTTCGTATTATTTTACGTTCCCACACCAACAATTTATTTATTTCTCTTTGATTTATCGCCTAGCTTCACTATCATATGTAACTACTGGCCGAATTAATGATTTATATAATTTTACTTTTGTTTTTCTAGAGATGAGTTTAGAATTTTGTTAATTAAAAGAAACGTCTCAACACATATTTATCAATGACTTATAACCAGGATTAGCTTCGCTTCAAATGCGGCAGTTTTGTTTGTTGAAGTAGCCATTCAACCAGAAGTGCGCTTCATCGCTAAACAAAATTCGCTTATGAAAATCGGAAACAACGGCAATCTCGTTTTGGGCCCATTTGCAAGTGTTGTTCAGGCGTGAGTCTACTCATGATGAATTTCCAAACCAATCTGAGAATAAATCACTTGACAGGTGTTAAATCTTGGGAGGAGGGAGGAGGGACCATCAATGAGAAGAAGGAAGCAGCTGGATTACAAGAAACACTATTACTATTATCACCAACGGAAATAAATTGCTCGAACAAGGTAATCAAATAGGCAGGCCGGTTAAGGAAGTTTGTAGATGCGTGGGAAGCGATAACTAGTGACAAAATTGTTCTGAACTGGGTCAAAGGGATACATCTACCCTTTCACAGAAAGCCAAAACAAATGTGTACACCTAATGTCAATATCCCTACAGGGCGATACAATGATTACCTTGCAGCTATTAAAAATTTGTTAAACAGTGGAGTCACCTCGACATGCCGACCAAAAGAAAAACAATTTTTATCGCCATATTTTCTAAGGAATTTTCTAGGAAAATAGATTCATTTTGAACTTAAAAAAAGTCAATAACTGGTTAATCGTGCCACACTTCAAAGTTGAGGACCATAGAACAGCTCTAAAACTCCTTAAGTCAGACATATTTTTAGCTAAAATTGACCTTGAAACTTGCCTTAGCTATTATGAATTCGTAAGGAGCATAGGAAATAGCTAAGGTTCAAATTTCAGGGTTCTCCTTTCATTTTTACCAAACTATTTAAGACAGTCAATTGCTTTTCTTAGAAAATCAAACAGCCTCTTGGTTGCTTACCTAGACGATATTCTGATTATGGATTATGGAACAAATCTGAATGCCAAAAAAGTTTAAGTTCACAACGGATTTACTAAATAAATTGGGATTTATAATAAACAAAAACAAAAGTGTTTTAGAACCACAACAATTTATAACCTTCCTGGGTTTCTCATTAAACTCCTTAAATATTTA